ATTGGGGAAAAACTCCCTCAATTACTCATAATCCCTGTCAAGAAAAGCACTCCCAAAAAGGATTACACAACATCTCTCAAACTTCATCTCAAACTCCATTCTCAATACACATATCAACAACACTTCTCATATTTAATCAATCCCAACTACTAAGACTAAGCACACATCTCATCTCAATTTTCAGTAGGTATACCATGTACATACATAATTAAAATAAGTCTCTACTCAAAGCTTAGTCATAACTCAACTTGGTTGGATTTACTTACCTTGTGCAAAGATGGCTTCCTTAGCACTTTTCCTTCCCTTTGTTGGCTTGTCTCTTCTCTACAACTCAAAACAACCACAAGGGCAGCAACAACACAATAAGACCTCACTATAAATACAAGAAAACTCACATCTAAAGCATGAATTCTTACCTTAGGAAGCTTTAGATGAAATCTCTACTCAAAACCCCTCTTAAATCCCTTAGAACTCTTGGAAAATTGGGTGGAGAAATTGAGAGAATATGGGCAATGGAAGAGGCGGTGGAATGAAGATGAGTAAGGGCTTTCTCTACACTTTACTCTTTTTAGTTCATATTAAAAGCTTCATTTCCCATTTTGCCCTTGTCCTTTCTTGAAAATTCCATCTATATCCTTTGATTCTTTACAACTACACCCCCATACAAACACAATCTCTACTAAATTTCCTTTCATTTTACTCCCCACTTTTCCTACTAATTAGGGGTAGAATGGTCATTGTGTTCCAAAAGAAGAATTCTCTAGAAAACTCAAGAATCTTTGTTTTAGGCTCTTCGCCATGGCGAAGCATTTTTCGTCGCCTCGGCGAAATAGGGCAGAACCTACCCGTAATGCCACTTCTCCTCCTCGCCGCGGCGAAGCTTCTTCTTCGCCCCGGCGAAGATTGGATTTCCAACTTCACAAAAACTCAACCCATTTCAAGGCAACAATTCAACATACAAACTCAATTTAAGTTAAAACAATAAACTTTTAACTAATACAACAAATCTTAAATACGTACCTCAAGTGGGATATTACAGTGGGGGTGTCTAGATTTGTGGTATGACTATGACTGGTGAAATGGAATATGTTCTCATTCTCAAGTCTTGAATTCCATTATTGATGTAATTTAGAAAAAAAAAAAAAAAAAAAGGAAGAAAAGAAGAAAGGAAGTGATGGAGGAACTTGCTTTTCATATTACAAACTATCCATGTTCATAATTTCTTCTAAAATTCCAATAAAGGAGTATGTTTTGTACGGGATATATACAATGTGGAAGCTATTGTGAAGGATCATTCCCTATCCTTTTGAACGATCTATTTTTCAATGCATGAGTTTTACGTGGTTTAAATGCTTTAAAGCCAAATTGAAGAAGCTACTGAAGGGAGTGATTGGTTTTACATGTCTTCTATATTCGAGCTTGGGTTGATTCATTTTTGCTCCACTAGTTTTGATGGCTTTTGAGTTACACTCCCAAATATTTCCTACCTTGATCCTAAACGCCGTTACAACCCTTGAAAAGTCCTTATGAGTCGTGTTATGCATGTGATTCCACTAGTGGAGAATGAGAAGATATGCAAGCCTATGGTAGATCATTTCCATTGGAATGAATTTGAGCGAAACATATACCCTTCAAACACATGAGTGTCTACTTATTTAGTTTACTCCATCTTTGAGTGAAAATGCTTACTAAGTAATCGGAAGTTGTTTAAGAATGTATGTTCATGATATGTTATGAGTTTTGAAGAGCTTGATTATTCTTGGTTGATGGCGTTGCAACCTTGGTGTTTTTGGGAAAGTGAATTTGAGTTTTGCCCGAAGACGAGCAAAAGTTAAGTGTGGGTGAATTTGATGAGAATGCAAAATATCATATTTTCTCCCCTTAATGTCTAGTATTTTATACTTATTTGGTGCCTAAATTTACTCATTATTATTTTATTTTGATTTAGGATGCAATGGAGGCGTTAAATGCAAAACGAAACTAATTGGGTGATTTAGGACAGTTTCAACATTGCTTCATAATCTGGGCATAACTCTCTCATCCGAGCTCCGATTGAAATGACTCAAAATTCTATGGAACCCCAAGAAAGAGATATACAAATTTAATGTTTTGAGTTTTGAGAGACACTTGCTGCATCAAGGTCAAAATCGGGCTTGAAGTTGACGCACCTGCACTACTGATGTTCTGGAACGTTCGGTCTTATCATGCAATTCAAATATGCAGTTTATTATTGGAAGTTTTGAAGATCTGGTGCACGAAAGTTACAACTGGAAACACCACTTTCCTAGTTATATTAGGACTTTATTTTATTTGTAATTAATCAGATTTGGATACATGTTATTTTAGGATAAAACTTAGAATATTTTTAAGAGATTGAGTAGAATTCAAAGATTTGAATTGGAAGTTTTAAGAGGGGGGAGAGATCAGACTTTACTACACACACCTCTCCTTCCCCTCTTCTCTAACTTCTCCTTTGAGTTTGCATGATTTCAATGGGTGGCTAAATTTTCTTAACTTGGTCGAGGGAAACGGAGGCCTTGGAATCAATTAAACTGTGAGATCTGATTTGTTTTTAGTGTTCAATTTATGCTTTGAGTATTAGATGTTCTTTTATGCCTAGTTTCATGATTGTCTTGTTTAATTACTAGGCTTTCTACACACTGTTAGGAATAGATATAGCGGATAATTGATTTACAAATGACATATTTGATTCTGATAGACGATGGTTAGACACATAATGGCTCATGGGGTATTTAACTTCACTAGATAGTTCATGTTCATATTTGGCTTGGAAATCCCTCTAGTACTCGTGATGAGAACTATTTCCTAAATGGTTTAGACTCCAAACCAGGAACATTCTTCATAAGAGATAGTTGTGGCATAATAGATGGTTGTGGCATATCATGTATGAGGGACTCGAACTGTGGTGAACATTCTATGGATGGATTTGGAATTATCTCCATATTCTCATCATCCACTGGATCTTCTTGTTAAGGGTGTGCAAAACCGGATGTCCAATCTAGTTTGCCTTTTTCTAATTCAATCCAAAAATTCGGATCAAGATGAAACCTGATCCGAATCCGACTCGGATTTCGTTTGATCCGATTTTGATTCGATCCGAATATTCGAATCGGATAAACTGGATATTCAATTTTATCTAAATTTGCATGGAAAATATCAATTT